TCAGTAAAATGTACAAATCTATATACTCTTATTTTGCTATTCGGACTTTAAGCTTGAATAAAGGGCACGCATAACCTTCCAGTTAAACTGTTTTACTGAAAAGAAAGAGTTCAAATGGAAGGAAATACTTAATATTTTAAAGGTATGTTCGTATTTATGTTAAGTGTAATTAATATATTGTGCACAAAATTTCACGCTAAAAACTATAGTCAACACTAGAAATATGCTTGAGACCAGAGGGTCTATATACGGACATCTTTCGCGGGAAGGTGGGTATGGGCGAGTCTCTTACAACATCTTATACATAATGTGGCCCGTAACAATATTATGCACCATTATACAGGGTGATTCATTCGGAATAAGCCGAATTAAATCACACAATAATCTACCGATGAAAACGCAATTTGTGCCGGTACATACCCTTGTAGACGTGGAGATAATTTGGTTATAAAAGATGGCGAAATAAGATTTCTTGCCCCTGGAAACACAGGCCGACACGTCACTCGGTTTTTATGTATACTCATATTATTCCGACACGTAACATGTGCAATTACAGATTCATGAAAATGGCACTAACTGATCAGGCAGTCACTGAGTCAGTGTTGTAACGCACACAGTGCTTTCAGGTTTTATTTTCATCGGTAAAATTTGTGTGATTTATATTTATTAAATAGGACATCGTCCGAATAAATATCTCTGTATTTCCTGTCACTTCTATTTGTGATATGGATGACAAAAGCAGCATGGTTTTACCGTAAGAGCCTTTTCAAGAATCTAAACTTGCATTCTGGCCACTTTACATGAAAAGTGATATTATAATGCGTACCTCGACAAATCGTTTAACCACAGGTCCGAGTGTATAATAAAAACAGATACTAACTGTACAGTATTCACCAAAGAAATCAGTTATTATTTACTGGTTCTTCACATCAGTCATTTTGAAAATCCACTTGTACTGCTCCGCGTGGTGTTCTTATGCGCAGAATTTATCAGACATTTCTCCTTTCGCCCCCTGAATTTTATGGTATACATTTTAACCAGAACGTATATATCGCTTGCTCGTTTGAAATATAATTAATTTGTTCTGAACATATTGTATTTTATTTTACCATTTTAGAGTGACTAAAATATATAACCGTGAAATATTACATATTTTATTATGTTAACATTATTAATTTCATATAGTTTAACAATTATTGTTCCGAACTCATTATTATTATTATTATTATTATTATTATTATTATTATTATTTATAACGTGAATCTGAAAGGTTATAACTCTTATTTATTGGGCGTACCTAAATGCTTAAGTTGGATTGATCACGGAAATAAATTACTATTATAATTGCTTAACATATTATTCGGAATAATTAACCCTGAACTGAATTATCATTAATATAAAGTCAATATTAATGCATTATTTTGAACGTTAAAATAACATCGTATGCATAGCGCTGTTCTATGGGAGATGTTATACACTGTTCATGTAAAAAGACCCTGCATTTTTAACATTTCTATAAAATTTCACAACGTACCCATAATGGATGTTAATTACAATATAGATTTACACTATCAAATTTCCGATCACTGCACGAACGGTAGGAAACAGTTGTTTTCCTCAGTCACTAACCACACTGCATGTTGGAAAAGAGGTCCATACCAAACAACTTAACACAATGTTTCCAAATCTACATAATGATATACTTAATTTTTAAGAATAAGCATATAAATACATTTAACATTTACATAAACTTACACATTAATTATTTTATTCTCATAAATCCTAATATTACTTGCGTTCTTTATATTGTGTAATAATTTTATGCATTTATATATAGATGCGGAATATATATGTTTAATAATAAAAAGCAGGATAAATATTTACCCGAAGTTTCCTTAGAACGCTAGATATTAGAAATTACCATCTTCATCTTAAAAGATTTTTGTAATATTAGAATATGAACAGTTCCTTCCACTCGCTGCAAAATTTTAAAATGAAAACCAAAATGAAATTATTAAAGCAACATTTTGTATCCACAAATAATCTCTGTTTCCCATTGTTATCTGTAAAATACGCCAGCAGTTTCAAAAAAAAAATTAATGCATAAAGTCTCCAGTTTCGTTATGATGTGTTCTGTTACTGTTATAATGACGTGCTCTTACTAACTGCGGAAGCTCAGTTGCACGCGGTTTGCACACCGCTGAAATTAGGTACATCGTATTGTGTGGTGAGCAGATTGGAAATGACTTCTTGTTTAAGTGCGTAAGAAGCTATCGGATTGTTGTTAATTCAGACATGAAACGAATAAAAAAATATTCTCATGTTCATAATATACAAGTGTAAATAATTGTTAACTCAGTTAAGAAGGAGTTTCAGGCCTTACGACGAGCTGATCACTCGCCCAAAGAGTCCTACCGTGAGTGTAAGATCTAGTAAACCGTGGTGAAACGGAGAGTTTCATGGAGGTAGGCCTAGGCCCAAATTGTGGCTGTAGCGCCACAGGAAAAAAGGAGTTTCACTAAATCTTACACAGAAAAATAATAGTGCTGGATTAACTGGAGAGTTTATTTTTTTGCATATACTGTTCTTTTTTATATGACATCTCCCTTTGTTCTGTTTCCTATTTGTTGACATATTATGGACACATTTTGTTGCACAGTAATTAAACTATATATTGAACATACATTGATATGCTGACGTGATTATCAGTTATACTTATTTTTATAAAATGTAATTAATTCCTATTATAACAAGAATTACCGTATTTACGCATGTATAGGCCGCAGCACAATTTTCAGACAAATTATAGAAAAAATAATTTTCTTGGAATATTATTTCAGGAGTAGAAAACCCTGTATTACTAATTATGAATATAATTTTTTTAAAATGAAGTGTTATTTCGAATATTTCGAACATAAGCCGCACCCCAGTTTTCCTCTTGAATTTTTGGCAAAAAATGTGCGGCCTATACATGCGTAAATACGGTATGTGACACAAATAAAATTATAACAGTATATTATACATTAAAATATATGTATGTTATTCTGTATAACCAGGCAAAGCGAAATACGATTGTGGTGAGATTTAGAAGTATCAAGTATGATTTGCGTGTACTGGCAGTACGACATGAATTCTAGCTGGGGAAACATCGTGTCTCAAAACGTAGCGTTTGGGGTTTAAATGACGAGTCCGGTTTACAGTGTTGTCAGATTTTGTAACATGGAGAATAAAGATGGTTTTAGAGTCCCTCTACCCAAAGCATTTTAAATTCAAGTCCTTATTCTCTCTGTTTCTAAAGTAATTTAGTGATTCTTTGATTCGGTTTTGGTACGATACTGACTGTACCAGTTTCATTCTTCACGTCCATCCTACCGCCACCATTCCATATAGGTTGAACGCTCTGCCAGATTATAACAAACATATAAAAGTAAGCACGAAACTGAATTTTTAAAATGAAAATATATTCGAGTCATAGAGTTTCGTTTTGTGTGCAACCACTGCCTACCTGTGTGAAGATATTTCTGTCACAGGCCTTTATAGCCTGGAAGTAGATTTCCCTCGGGAATATCTTCTCCTGAGTTTCCTGACAGAACGTAACCTCCATTGTTGTTTAGTGGTAACAAACTACACGTAAACAATTGACTTGCTGTGAAGGTGGTAACAGAACTTATACATGAAAATATGAAGAAATTGTAACACCATTATTTTAATTACCATCCTTATGTAAACAGTGTCCACTTCTTTCCTTACAAATAAATAATATGGATATATTGTGCGAGAAATACATCCACATGCTTTATGAATTAAATTGTACGTTAAATTAAAAAGTTTAATGTATTTAAAAATGTCCACTTGGGGTGGATGCCCAACATCCAAATATTTTAATTCTTGAAAGATAGCCGCTTTCTGGGATGTGGCGCCGTGTAGAAATTGTGTTAACCGACGTTTCGGAGGAACGTATTGCCTCCATCTTCAGGGTAGAAGACAAGAAGAAACCCGCGAGCGAACCAGCGGAGCAGGTGCAACAGACTGAATCCAGTCGAGCAAACACAGCTGTATAAGAGAAGGAGAGAAGGAGTGTGGCTACATAGGGGAATAGTAGAGAGGGAGAGGGGAAGGGTCTGGTGGAATGGCCAGCAGGTAGTGGGCCAGAGCTGGTATTGTGTATGTGTTAGGGGGAGAGAAGGGATTTCTTCTTGTCTTCTACCCTGAAGATGAAGGCGATACGTTCCTCCGAAACGTCGGTTAATACACTTTATACACGGCGCCACATCCCAGATGACGGCTTTCTTCATAGTCACCGCCGTGGAAACCTCAAATCTTACGTTTTAAATCTTGTTTTGTTATTTTAAATATGATTTTGTCACGGCTGTTTTACTTTCATTCGAGATCTGCCATTTATCGATTTTTAGTACAGTAAATTGCTGATTTTTTGTTCTGACACGAATATTTTGCCTTGAAATTCTAGGTTCACTTACACGCCAAGATAATGAACATATTAAATGTGCTTATGTCTTTCGCCTTTGAGATAGTATTGGGGGTAATTTCAAATTCTCCGCTCAATGTGAAGGTAACACGAACTGAATGATAGTCGTCCATCTTGCGTTCGTATTGTGTGATAAATTCTCTTTGTAATTCAACTAATCAAAATTCATGCATACTTAATACGACATAAATAGAATTATTTTTTGTATATTACGACCTGTTGTTCTTAAATTATAAGCATTAAATCTGTAAAATATAATATTTCACCACGATAACCAAATTGTGCACAATTTAATATAGGAATTAGTTCAGACGTCTAAGAAGGAACTCCCATTCATAAGCACATTCATATGAAAAATGGCATCCCGAATCATGATTCAATATGCCGTTCATTTCAAGATTTATGTAAAATTTTCAAAGACTTTGAATCATATATAATCGACTGTGTTAAAAAAAATGCTTGCTTTGTTATGAAATAGGCACCACCGTAACGAGAAATTTAATCTTCTGCCGTGTTCTTCCTTTTGAGATAAATGTTTATGTAGGATAAATTTAGTATTATTTTATTTTTCAGATGGAAAACAGGAAGTAGTTTTGTTTACCGGTTTATTATTAGAATGACGCTATTTGTCGGAGCGTAACCAAGGCAACGGAAGATAACCATGCGGCCAGCGACAGTGCGTGATTTTCGCTGGCGTTGCAACCGTCTTCGTCACAGCAGAAAATCTTTGTCCCCCAAGTCTCTGAAATCAGAAACAAACAAGAGCCCGTCGTTATCTGAATCTTTCTTTGTCCCCCAAGTCTCTGAAATCAGAAGCAAACAAGAGCCCGTCGTTATCTGAATCTTTCTTTGTCCCCCAAGTCTCTGAAATCAGAAGCAAACAAGAGCCCGTCGTTATCTGAATCTTTCTTTGTCCCCCAAGTCTCTGAAATCAGAAGCAAACAAGAGCTCGTCGTTATCTGAATCTTTCTTTGTCCCCCAAGTCTCTGAAATCAGAAGCAAACAAGAGCCCGTCGTTATCTGAATCTTTCTTTGTCCCCCAAGTCTCTGAAATCAGAAGCAAACAAGAGCCCGTCGTTATCTGAATCTTTCTTTGTCCCCCAAGTCTCTGAAATCAGAAGCAAACAAGAGCCCGTCGTTATCTGAATCTTTCGACAAATTTTATGTCGGATGAATGAAATGTGTATATTTTGTTATATTTTAAAAAGTACGATTTAACCCCCCACCAGTTAATGAATAACTTATGTAGGTATTATAATTAATATTGTGTATTTATATTTTTGGCATGTACTGTCTTCGCTCCTTGGAAACCGGGATCATAGGTTCGAATCCCACTCAAAGCATGGATGTTTAGTTTGTGTGTGTGCGTTTTTCTGTGTTTGTGTACAGGTAGAGGCCTTGCGACGAGCTGATCACCCGCCCAAGGAGTCCTACCGAATGTGTAAGATCTAGAAAAATCCAGGTGAACAGAGAAGTTCATGGAGGTAGGCCTAGACCCACAGGAGCTGTAGTGCCAAGGGGAAAAATATTTTTATTACTGTTGTCCAGTAAAACAATTTGAACCAAGTTCTTATTTTTAATTTTTAAGTGTTGATATCCCCAAGGGTAAAGATGTAGGGCGTGAAGCTGACCACTCCCCTCCAATTAGTGCCGAGATCAAGAAAATATGGACCTATACATTCACTCCCCCATACGTCTTTATGGTCTAGTGCTTAATTAGTTAAGCATAGAGACAACTTTACTTTAAGTGCTGATTATCAGATACTTGATATTATAACATGTCGAATGAAACTGTCTTTCATGGGAACCATGGTGGAATATCACAGAACATAATAATGCAGGATCTGTCATCGGAATATCTACGTAGTCAAAGAGTTTAAACATTTTAGTAAAGGAAACTCGGCTCTCAGTTTTCAAGCAAAATAAGAATAATTATGGCCGTTTTTGAAGTCAGAATGTGATTTTCAAAAATGTGATAGTCTTAATCAACCTCTAACAGAAATGAGTACAAGGAATTAATTAAATAATTTTCCTGGGGAGTAAAGCGCGGCCGGCGCGTAAGGCTGGCAGCCTTACCGCCATCTTTGAGCCGATTGTCTAGTTAATGTGGCAGCCTCGACGTTTCAAAACCCTATGGGCCTCCACGGCCTGTTACAGAAATAGCTTTTTTTTTCTTACTTTTTTTTTACTGATAGAATTAATAGTTATATTTTGGATGGGGAATGTTTTTGTATATCATAATGTTTTTCTTAAATATACATTTAAATGGGCCTAGAATAAGAACATTGGGAATTAGGGACTGTTGTTATAACCAAGGCGAATCAGATTGGGGCTTAATTAGTTCAAGATATTCTGGAATGTGCCGCCTTCAGTTCAGTGATCGTACAAAGTTAGAAGTAACGATTTTTTTGTAGAGCCAAAATTCTTTCTGATTGCATTTTGTTTTTGTAATTCATTAATTATAAAGTGTCCTATCGTGTTGTTTATAAGACATCAAGTTCAAAATTTCGTGAAAATAACTAAATTAAATTTTCAAGACGATGTAAATATTTATAATTGTTTGATATATTTTGGATGGAATTAAAAAATGTTCTATTACCGAAATGAAATTAGACACAATTGTAACGGATCAGTTATATTAATTTCATTGTTAAAATATTCCTTGTACTATCGCCACTGAACTACTACTATTCCGTCTAACACTACTACTACTGTTACTGTTTGCACCATCGTGGCTAAATAAATATGCTTCCTATACGAAGTCCATTTTGGGGGGGGCAAAAGCACAGACTGCATTACCGACTGAGGCATAGATACATTCAATTGTCATTTATTACTGTTATTGTCTTGTCGTATTCATAAGTTCTATCAACTATGATCGCTGATGAACATAGTATGTAACGAAAGAAGAGAATATCTGTTTTTTACATGCAGATCCTGTGGCTACTTTGAAAAATAAAATAGGTTCTGGGCCTGCGTGAATAGGTAGCATTGAAAGAATTAGTTTCTTACACTTTTCATGTTTACAAAGCGAAAAACTAATTGTGGAAAAAGGAAGTGAAAAGAATGCAAAACCTTTACGTATTTTCATATCGTTTTTCTTGTTGCCCTTGGTAACCATTAGACTTACCCTTCTCTACGCACTTGTCTATGCATTCTCGAACAACGCTGCCCTCACTCACAAATTTCTGTAAAGAAAGAAATTAAAAACCTTTAATTACCATTCATCTCTTTCCTTTCTAATATAATTTTCTGTGGGTAAGGAGCGCCATCGCGTCTCTAAAACGTAGGACAATTACTAATGCCATATTTTATTTATTTATTTCTGTCTAAATAGTATCCATTTTTTTGAGTGGATTCATCTGGCTCGGAATTGTATCCAATGTCCGACACTTATAAACACTGAAATGAAAGTGGGAATTACTACTTTCTTGTCACATCCTTTAGTTAGGTACGTATTTTCCGACGTTTCTGAGGAACCTCGCACATCCATCTCCACGGTAGAAGAGGCTGCAAGTTTCTCCGAAACTCCGGGGCAGATATCTTCCAAATTATACGACATCTGATCCAACGATAAAAAATCTTTATAGTCACTTCCGTGAGAACCTCAGATATTACAATACCAAAACTTCGGATTTCATGAAACGGAGATTTTTGTATGAAAAGTCCAACTGGTATAAAACTGACCAGTTTAACGAAGAGAACTAGGCAACCGAGGCTTCATATAACTTTTACTTGATGGAAGAATTTATTTATGTACACCGTACGCGAAGCTTCATTTTAAATAACTGGTACCGAAGTTGTAAACTTTTTATGTTTTTAAGCTACTGGATATAATATATTTTTATATACTTGTTAATGAGCTCCAGAAGGAAAGGGCCCACTGGGAAGATCAAGGCGTAGTTGGGTGGACAACATTAAAATGGATCTTAGGGAGATAGGATGGAATGGTATAAATTGGATCGATCTGGCTCAGAATAGGGACCGGTGGAGGGTGGAGGGCTCTTGTGTACACGGTAATGAACCTTCGGGTTCCATAAAATGCTGGGAAATTCTTGAGTAGCTGCAGAATTGGTGGCTCCTGAAGAAGTGCTCAGCTCCGTGAGTGAGTAAGTAAGTATCTTTTTTATTGCTAGTGGGGCCTAAGGGACTAAGTCCCTTGTACGGCGGCCACTTCTGGCCTATTTTACCAGTCCCAGATGATAGGTGAGGGTGATTGTGGAGCAATTGGTGGAATTAAGATTGGCAGGGGAAACCGAAGTACTTGGAGAAAACCTGCCCCATCGCCACTTTGTCCACCACAAATTCCACTTAACCAGACCCGAGATCGAACCCGGGCCGCCGCGGTGGGAAGCCAGCGACTAACCGCTTGAGCTATGGCGCGGCCCCTAGTAAGTAAGTAAGTAAGTAAGTAAGTAATTGAGCTATAAATTTGTACCGGAACAGTGAGAGTAACAGGGGCAGTGTTAAGTTTTGGTCGGTAGTGAAACATATCTTTTTGTGTGTCCTGTGCTGGAATAGTTTCCGTTATTCGTGGTGTTGTACGGTGCGTGAGTTTTCTCGAATGTTTACTTCAGCTGCTACATGTCTAATGAAGCTCTGTGTGGACGCGGGGGTCCAATTATAGAAACTGCCACACCCATTCACAGATATCCGCTGTATGGATGGTACTGGTAGGAATTTGGTCTTTTGTTAGTACAATCTGCATGTGACTAGCATTCTGTCCATGTGTTACATATTTGTCTTATATACAGGGTGATTCTAAATTTTGTCGGGGTCTTCGTGGTCTATAATTTTCAAACCGAAAAAAATTAAACCGTTTCCATTAACAATTTTCTCATTGGTTTTGTAAAATCGTATTCAGAATTTTAATATAAAATTCTAATTGATTTTAATTAATTATTTTTATTTTATTTTTAAGTGTATTGCAGGGCGTGGTTTTAGCGCATATGGGAACAGTGTTGCAGTTTTCGATACATTGAGACACCTGAAGATTGCCATCTCTGGCCGAAACATGTGTGCTAAATGGTGTAATTGGAGAAATAAAAAAAAGAACAATTGTTTCATTATTGACGGACTGTGATATACATAGACGTTACTTAAAGTCTTGCAGCAGGATGCTGAAATACAAAATTTATATTCACTTCTCTGTCATGCGTGCTACATTCCCTGCCCATGTCATCCTCCTCAGTTTGATCATTACAGTAATATTTGGCGTGGAGTACAAATTATGAAGCTACTCATTATGTAGTTTTCTCCAACGTCCCGCCTCTTTCTTCCTGTTGAGTCCTGGTATTCTCCTCAGCATCCTGTTTTCAGACAACCTCAGTTCAATTTCCTTCTTTATTGTAAGACGTCAAGAGCTTAGATTCTAATTTCATGTATTGTCTCTTTCTGATTTAAATTCCAAACAGTCCAATAATAAAAAAAAACATGTCTACTTCCGAGGAAGCCAAGTATTCTTGTACAAAATAAGCCATGGATCATAGTTGTTTAATTTTAAGTCCCCTAGATCCTTCATTTTTCTGTCACGTGAGCTTTATAGATCCAGTTAATCAGTGTCGCATATTATGCAGCAAAAGGTACAGCTGAAATAAGTGGGTTAGATTAGAAAAGAGCTATCAGTCTTGTATGGCAGTAGGTGGGTGGAACGGGGCCATGTAGGAGCAGGCGTAAGTTAGTTCAGGAGGTTTGAAACACCTTTTGAGCCTTCCAAAAGCTGAAGCATCCTATTGGAAGCTTTCTGAAGTTAGTGGCGCGCAAAAACCTTTCAAAAGATTTCCTAGCCATATTTTCCAACAGAAAGAAACAGATGTAAGTGGGAGGAAGGGACGGACAGTGTTTGTACGGTGGTGAAAGCTGTTGCTAATCCTATTTCACAGGCAGAAGAGGAGAGAGAAGGGGAATCATGTTGGCTTCTGTGGTTATCAGGGCTTCTAGATGCTAATCATGTATTGAACTGGCTTTGGTACTAAAATTTCCTTTGTGTGTTGCCGCATAATCTCCATCTTCAACCTAGGCTCCGAAAGACGTCTCAAGCATGCTACATTGCTTAGCTCTGTGCCGTGTAGCTTTATGCCACTGAATTCTGTGCGTTCATGATGATACTTTTCCTCTGTGGTCTAGTGTTCAGAGTTCCTGGCTACAGATCCAGAGGTCCTGGGTTCGATTCCCGGCACTACCAGTTTTTTTGATAAGTGATGGGTCTGGAACAGTGTCCACTCAGCCTCATGATAACCGAGGAGCTATTTAAAGGGAATAGCGGCTCCGGTCTATAAAACCGAGATTAACGGCCGTGGGGATCCGTTGCGCCGACCACGCGACACCCTCTATCCACAAAAGTTGGCACTAACTTCGCCGACAAGTGGCGGTCGCTCGATCGGTATAGTTCGCTTGCAGTGTACAGGCCACGGAGTTTTTTCTTACATAATTTTTAGTCGTAGTATATAAAACAAGGAAAAATAATTACGCCCTCTGGAGGCATAGATGTCAGTCTGTCTGTGACTTGGTATGAATTGGACAGCCCTTACTTTTCTTTCACGTGATTTCACATTAAGTATTTCACTGAGTTGTGGAATTTTGATTTTAAACCACGTTGATATGTAACAAAGCGTACGTTACATGATCTTCAATCAACGTCTAGTACCGAACAGCGGGTTCATATAGAGGTGATGCTCTGGATTTGTATCCGAGAGGTGTCCGTTTCGAATCTCAGCAAGAATACCCATTATCCCAATTAAGAGTTTAGTGGTTTTCCTCAGCCACTGCATGAACATTCTTGGATAATTTCTCGATTAGGTCACGGCCTCTTCCTTCCAAATCCTTTCCGCTTCATCACTTATCTGACACTATATAATCCTGATATTGGCAGTGTCGTTAAATAACCAACCAAACGATAATAAAGAGTTCTAGCTCCTGGGGTATACTAATGCCATTTAGTACGTTGAAAGTCAACCGACATTTCGGAGGCGAAATATTCGTCCGAAACGTCGGTTGACTTACGTCCAACTGCATGGCGTTATATCCCAGAAGGTAGAACTCTTCACAGCTACAGCTGCGAGTACCTCAGACCGCACAAAAGATAAACATGTTTGGTGAAATTCGATGTGGGATGTGTTTGCGAAACATCACGTGGTAATTTTCATTTTTAGTAATATTGACCGATTAAAATTCCATAGCAGGCCGTCAATGGATATTTCGTTACGTCCCGAAAATCGTTCCATACATTTTGTTCATAATTATGCTGTTGAAATATGAATTTTAACAATTGTATCTAATACAGTTTACAGACTGACAAGAACGCAGTTGCGGTTTTGTGTTCTTCGTTATGGCGTACCCTGTTTCCAGCTTTGTTGTGTACAGGTTAGTCTGTATGGTAATAGTTGCTGGTAATTCTCTAATCTTTGGGGTAATGTACTACTTCAGTGGCAATTACCATAAGATTGTGCGCTTCTGAAATGAGCTGAGCCTTCCTGTAAGCCAGAATCTGTAGTTGGGAGTTAAAATGGAAATAGTTCTAAGCAGATCACATTAAGCGCACGCGTATATGGAACACACGAATAGCGGATATAAGACTCGTGATCCCCACATACTCTATGTGAAGAAGGATTCATTTACGACGGTCAAGCTTGTCTAATGTTCCTACAATTTGAATTGAGTCTGCTTACATTAATTTGATTTATTCTTTAATTGACAACATTTTGAACCGTTTTCACTGCTCGAACACTGGGATCATGGGTTCGAATCCCACTTGAGGCAAGGATATCTGCGTGTAGGTATCGGTCCTGTAACGGGCTCATCCCCTGTCCAAGGAGTCCTACCGAATGTGTATAGATTAACAAGCTGAAAAAGCGGCCAACATCCACAAGGACTGTAGATAGATAGATAGATTCCCCCCCCTTCGCACTACAGCCCCAATGGGCCTAGGCGTACCTCCATGAACTTCTCCGTTCACTTCGGTTTTTCTAGATCTTACACATTCGGTAGGACTTCTTGGGCGGGTGATCAGCTCGCCGCAAGGCCTCTACCTGTACACAAACACAGAAAAACGCACACACACAAACTAAACATCCATGCCCTGAGTTGGATTCGAACCCACGGTCCCGGTTTCCAAGCGAGCGAAGACAGTACAAGCCTTAGACCGCTCGGCTACCGTGACCGGCAGTGCATAAGAATAATATATAAGAAT